CAATAAAACGTCCACTCAATCCGGAGTCGGGTCGTTGGGGTGGCGAAGGCTATTTCACATGAGATCGTAAGGGTCCACAGGCGGTGATCCCCCGATTCCTCGATTTTTGATCCCCCAATTCCTAGATTCTCGATTCCCCGATTCTCGATTCCCCGATTCTCGATTCCCCGATTCTCGATTCCCCGATTCTCGATTCCCGATTCTCGATTCCCGATTCTCGATTCCCGATTCTCGATTCCCGATTCTCGATTCCCGATTCTCGATTCCCGATTCTCGATTCCCGATTCTCGATTCCCGATTCTCGATTCCCGATTCTCGATTCCCGATTCTCGATTCCCGATTCTCGATTCCCGATTCTCGATTCCCGATTCTCGATTCCCGATTCTCGATCCCCCGATTCTATTGGCCGCTGTTTGAGCGGGATCTTTGAGCCTCAAAAAATAATCACCGTAGCTATTCGGCGGTCGGCTCCTTACGGAGCCAAAAATGGTCATTCTACAGATGGGACGAGCTCCTTGGAAACTCAAAAAGAGATATGGGATTCTCAGAGAAAGACCCATCAAACTGGTAGATGAGCTAGATCCGATGTTTTGCTCATTGAGTACGTTCACCGAGCTGGTTTTAATTTCTTTTCGCAAGCATGAGAGACCAGCGCGGAGACTTCGCAACCTTGTATACGGAAAATGACACATCAGATAATTCAAAAACCATTGACAGGTGAAATTAATAAAACACCGTCGGACGAGGATGTCTCCAAAGGTCGGAGACACCCAAATCCCTAGCACGGATCGGGTTCATTTAACACAGAGCGACCGATCAGCGCATATCACTTCTGCGACGGTGATAATCTCTTTTGAGGCCGCTCAAAGACCCCGCTAAAACAGCGGCAAAGAGAATCGGGGAATCGAAAATCGGGTAATCGGGGTAGAACCCCACAGGCTAGTCGAAATGAATTCTCGGATGGGCCTTCTTGCCCGAGAGAAGGTTCGAGGTCTCCTCGGGCATAAACCTTCTAGACTGATTTTTCGTGTGGGGGGGTCTCGCGAGTGAACTCGCCCAGTGCCTCTCCTGTTACCTTGTCGAAGGGTCCCGTTCATCTCAATCGAGGTGGTAGTATGAGGTGTGGTATATCTTAGCCCTCTACCGCTCACCATGGAGCTGTACTTCCATTCCTATCTACGTAGTTCCCGCTAATTATATAAACCTCAACTGACCGATAGCGTTAATCGCTCTTAGACTCAGTGGTTCCGGACGCTCCTGAGATTTTCATTCTCTAGCCACTGTCACCCCTCCCACGAGATGTCCCGCTCGGGAAGCCGTAGAAGAGGCGAAACCTCAGCGAACATGCGAGCCATCAGCTCGAAGCCGCATCGCCACATTGCGCAGGATTCGTCTCAGTAGACGCCTGAGATGCTGTCCGATCGTAGATACAAGCTTAGGGAATAAGCTTTCGAGTCCGACGGCGAAATTATTTGCGGGAAAGCTGTAGGGAGAATAGGTTCCGACAGCGAGCATTAGACGAGCGATGACCGACGTCACGACGAGTCGCTCGGAGACCGATTCCCTTTTCGAGCGCATCGCCCCGTGGTTCCCGTTGTCCACCTTCGAGCAATGCTCGGATTCCGCACAAACTCTTGATGAGGCGTTCGATTCTTCTGGGATCAATTTACGGCCGGCCCAGATGATCGAGCTGAGCGAGCAGATATCACACAGAGGTCTAGGTCTACGACAATGAATTTTCGAGAATATACTGGTACATGAAGAGTTTTGTTCTTGATCACTCTTTCCGATTTCGTCGGGGCTATGCGATCGTCGCAATCTCCTAATCGTCAGACTTATTGGGTTTGAGCGGCAAACAGGAAGGAATGCTCGATCTCTGGTCATTCGTTATTCATTTCGAGCTCAACAATCAGTGCTACAGCAGGAGCAATGGAATGCCATCGTGATTCGACATGATCAGCTTCTTCCAATCCTCACATTCAAGTCGACGGCCGCCGGAATCGATACTTGACGACTTCTAGCGAAAAACTGATGCCCGCCACAGAGGCACCGATTCCATGCAGCACGAAACAGCCTTGCAGATCAAGGATCGTGAGTGCTTTCGTGTCGTCAGATATACTCGTGAGGGTTTCGGACTTGCACTTCTCGTAATCCTCCACTGCCCACGCCAAGTTTTTGTGGAAGAGATTCGCCTGCAGGGATGTCCAAACTCTGTCGGGAGTGGAGTGATCCTTATTAGTTCCCCAACGTAAGGATAATCCCCGAAGGTTGTGGCTCGGACGGAACAACTTATTTCCTAGGGATTTTGGGGCGCAGACTCACGCTTTATTGATGAGTTCACGAGTCTGATAAGGAAGTTTCCGTGATATGAATATAGACACCATCATCGAGCCGGCGCTCTCGGTCGACAGAATAACTTTCGGACACCTCCCCGAGGTCTTCTTCTTCTTGATAGCCATACTGAGAGCCATTTCCGGACTACCGATTATGACACGTTTTTTCGCTTCGACCTCGGAGACCATTCGCATGACTTGCGAATTGAGCGTGAATAGACCACGAACCGGTATGAGCCTGCTGTTCAGCTTGCGGAACAGTTCGTTGTGGGGTTTCTGTGAGAGAGAATACATGCATTTGCTTTTGGTATTGCGTGGAATTTTCTCCGTCGGGCGGGACGCTCAATTCTGACGAGAGATGTCTGGAACTCGCTATTACAGTGAAAATTTGCGTCAAGATTGTTCCTATCTCGCTGTACAGTCGAACTTCCGGAAAACGAAGGATATCAGCGAAGCTATTCACGAAATCCTCGTCGTTCTTGATGGTCATCGAGGAGGTCAGGGTGCTGCTCAAGAAAGTCATGAAAATGACAGAGAAAGCGAAAAGAAAGCTGACTGAGCACATCCTGAACCAGTTCGACTGTTTCGGGGGAGCATCTGAGGAACAAAGCCACGAGATCAGAAGTCAGCTCATCAACATGGGAGCAACCTCCGATCATTCGGTTCCCGAGGGAAGCTCGCAGAAGCTACAACCTTGCGGGAAGAAACGCGAAAATGTGTCCCAGACGTATTCCGACAAGGAGAGCGGTTCGCCTGCAAGCCACGGGGTCAGAAACCTTCGAACGAGAGAAATAGCAGCCGCTCAGATAAAAGTTAAGAGAAATCCTCAGTCCTCGAAACCGACGGGTATCCTGTAGAAGAACCTCTACCTATACCTCAACAGATCATCGACGAAGATCGCGATCGAGTGAACGAAAAAGCGGGCGTACCGATCAATGGTCCAGCAGCAAAGCGCGAACAATGAGAAGCTCAGCAAAACCGCGAGCCACGCCTCCACTGTGAAGCTGGACGCAAAGTTGAAGGGATCTACGACCTGCAGAACCAATTTGGTGAAAATGGGGAGTCAAAAGGGTAAATACATGTAGTATCCGATGCTTTCAAGGGATGCGGTATGCAAATCTAAAAAAAGTCGCTCGAGGCATTGCTGATGATGTCATAACCTTTGAAGGTGACCATGTCAGGAGACGGAAGGTGGTGATGTCATAGGTGGCTCCCTCCACCAGGGGAAAACGTTCTTCACTCATGATGGATGGACTGATGAAAAGGTCGATCTCCTGCGAGGCTTGTCGCTCATGAAGGTCGACGGATGGATTGGACATCTGACATTGGTGGGATGGATACTCAACAAATACTCACCCCTCTTTCGAACATCCCCATAATTCCGCTGAACGACCCGTTTTCCAAACGAGAACCGTGTTGCATGTCTTTTATGGACACGACCGAGAATCTGGAGGAAAAATATAATCGCTCGCGAGAGAAACTTCGGACTGCATCGCTAACAGCGACTGAGTTTCGCGCTGGACACAGAATCAAGTCCCGCTCCTCGTATACAATAAGCTTGTGGTGAGATGTGCGGTAAAGAACTCACCTGTGGCCTGATAGAGCATGGATGGCCGCGCCGACCTGAGAGGTTGGACCCCATACGGCGACTTTGTCGCCGACCATGTTTTTGTACACATATGGCTCCAACTGGGGATCGGATTTCGTAAGACTATTTCGCGAGAACCTTAAATCATGCTCACTGACTGTTGACCCGGGGAGCGATTGAGGAGTGTTGACTCAGGCTGGCTCTATGAAAGCCGAGTCTATTGATTCTAGCGTACTTGAATCATTGCCACTCGGAGATACGGTGTAGAGGAATTGAAGCTTGCTCGGTATGGATAGAGCTCCGTCTTCATGTTGGTTTAAGCTTTTCGTTCTCGGCGAGTGCTCCCGAAGCTTTCTACTGATGCCTCGCGCAAAGTAGCCTCGGGACTGCTTCTTCGAATGCCTAGTGCACTTTTTGAGTCGTGATCGCGCATCGTAATTAAGTGAGCCGCCTCCTTCTCGCGGCGAAATTCACAGAGGTGTCGGATGCCTGCGACAAAGTCATTTGCATATCTATCCGCTGGAGATCCCGTCTTGGCAAATCGATGCGTTCCGAGCATCAGCGGATAGAGGATCATCAAATTATAATTTCTTTTTTTCAGATGTGAGCAAGTCGAATAAGATGCATAGGAAGTTCTCTGCAGAGAATATCGTCAGGCGAGCGCCTCCACGACAAGGTGATCCAATCCACAGTTCAAAATACCGAGTCAATGAATATTTCCTCCGGAAGCCGAGTCCGGACAGTAATTTGAGGCTGAGCGATCGTGACTCCTGAGCAGTGCCGTGCGCCGTATCAAGGACGCGGCGCACGGCGCCATGGCTTCTATGGGACTGGCAATGCTCGGCGCGGCGCACAACTCTGCTCCTGAGCCCTCAGTCTTATCAGAAACATCACTTATCGCTACGTTTGACGGACGAGATGAGTTATGGTCATTAGTCATTATCGGGACGACCCTCATCAATGCAAACATTGACTGACACCTTTGATGATCAACGTGGAGCAAACTAGCCGATGGTTTGGCTAGAATCGTGTCACCATCTACCCGATAACCCGTTTATTATTCAAAAATAACCCGTTTGTCATCCAGATTGTTCTAGAATTCTCTCTATGGCGAACGTCCCCAACGCAACCGAGAGGCCTATCGACAAGAGGATGAAGGATCCTTGCAGATCAGGAATGGAGAGCCCCCTAGTGCTTCGCTTATCATCCACGTCCGGATTTCGGAGGCATTCTTCAACATCTCTCAGAGTCCATTTGACGTACTGTTGATGGAGAAATGCTTCCGTTGACGCTAAGACCCTGTAAGAGTTCCGCTCTTGATAGAAACCCAATTCCATTCTCGATACATCCTCTTCGAGTACGCGAACATTCGTGGAGTCGGCAGATCGATCACATCAGGGAAGGATGTCCCAAGTGAATTCGACCGGGTTCCAGGGAAGGCGACTTACCCTTTGTTGATCAGAGATCGCAGAGCTCTTGGTAACTTCCGAGATATCAGTATGGAACCACTCATGAGACCCGCATTCCCGGACGAGATCGTTACCCGCGGACATCTTCCCGATGCTTTCTTCTCTTTCAATATGAAAGACTTACAAATCGTCGGACTCCCGACGATCACTCCTCTCCTGGCTTCCGTCGCGACGACAGCCTGACGCGCTTTAGCTCTGTCCCTAAAGAGCCCGCGGACAGGACGCAGTCTACTGCTGAGTTTTCGATACAATTCGTTCTGAGGATGCTGGTGGCGAAAAATGTAAATCATTTGGGAGTTCGCGGAATAATATCTCCCATCTCGGATGGATCGCCGTCTTCTATCACAAACTCACTCCCATGGCTCACCGTGAAGATCTGCGTGAACCAAGATTGCCCCTCAGCGAAAATCTGAACCTCAGGAAAGCGAAGGATGTCGGCGTATTTTTTCACAGAATCCTCTTCTCCCTTGATTGTCATCGTTGACGTGAGAGCGCCACTCAAGGATGTCATGAGCAGGAGGGAGAAACCGATCCAGAACCCCATCTGGCACATTCTGAACCATCTCGCTTGCTGCGTCCCCGAGCCTGCAATTTAGGCGCCCAAATCAGCATTCCCATACGTCCGACCTGACGAGGATTTGGGGCTGGGTTTCGGAACGCTCCCGCTTACATTGAGGGAAGAAGTATGTGAAGAACTCCCAGATGTAGAAAGTCACCGGAAGTTTGGGTTCCGTCCTCCACGGCGTCAAGTACCTGGGGCGAGTGGACTGCTTTTGAATCGTTGCCGGATTTCGAGCAGCGTCCTTGAAAGGGAGTATCCAGTATCTGCAGAGAGCAGCTTGAAGCTCAATTTCCCGAGAATATACTACCTGTCCACAGTCCAACTGAAAATGACTAGCGAGACGAAACTGATGATGAGAACTGCCCAGACGTCAGCATCGAAAGCTAGCACGAAGTTGAAGGGATCTATCATCTGCGGGGTAAGGTGAGACTGCTGAGCGTGAAGTCGCCTTCCTTGTAGGAAGACAAATCTATCGGTTAAGAACTAGGGATCGGGGATCGGAGAGTGGAGCCCGACCTTTCGAGGAGACCACGTCAAGAGGTTGTACGTGGAGACGGAGACAGTCGAAGACTCCACTATTGGGAAACGGTCGTTGTTTTGCAAAGCGGGACCCATGAAGACATCGATTTCCTGATATTGGAATTCAGATTGTATGAAGCGATTAATGATCATTTCTACCTCGGGAGAGGGATCAATTCATGGAGAAATTCCGGGAATAATATTGAATGAAGTTCCTCACTCCTCTCTGGAACATTCCCATGATCCCAAGGAAAGTTCCGTTTTTGAGTTTGATCCCATGAGGAGCGTCTTCCACGGAGACGATAGATAATCTACAATCCAGAGAAAGATGCGCCTCACGATGTAATCCGAATGCACTCGTCGTAGAGTTTCCCGCTGGAGGGTCATGAGCAGAGGCGTAAACTGCGGAGAACGCGCCGCCGAAGGCCCCGCGATAATTTCGCCCGTCGCTCGGAGAATCAGTCTTCGCTTTCCGGGAGTGAGCCCTCCGAGGAACTCATGCTCTAATGGTTCTGACCGATTGAATCTGTGCCTCGCTAGATGGTGGCGCGCCCAGGGCACGTCTCCCCGCTGCCCCCCGTCTTCCCTATTCACGCCGCTCTTCATAAGGAACTGACCTGTGCTTAGTTATGGCCTGAATTGCGAAAGCTGCCTGCGAGAACGCGCCGTACACTTCCACAAAACCACGACCTCGCTTCTTGTTTATGAACGGATCGAGCTGAAAAAACGGACTGTTCCATTCCGACTGTTCCCATCGGGATATCTTAGGGATCTTATCTAACCCACCTGGACGATTGCGAGGCGCAGAAATTTCTCGGAAACGTTAAAGTGAGCTCTGAAGGGGAAAACCTCGAATTTGAGATGATCCATATCCGAAGCTCCTCTGGCCGAGAATGCTAACCACTTTCACCGGCAGAATGGTTCTGGAGCCGAAAGAAGAATGTCCTGAGTCGAATTCAGACGCGTGTCGTTCACCTCGGCCTCGTTCCCGATTCCCGCAGGAAAATTTGCGACCTCCGAATCATCACGGGGTCGGGATTCTAAAAGCTGAACTTGATCATTGGATCCGAATTGATGCTCGATATCTAGGACGGACTCACTGCAAATTCTGAGGAGATGTAAATGCACTCTAGAGATCCTCGGGGATTGATCGGGTGAGGCCTAGGCGGCAATTATCAGGTACGAGTGTGATCATTACCGAGATCGTCCTGCTGGTGAGTGAGTGGTTGTCTTCAGGGTCGTCCTCTAATCGTTCATTGCGAGGCGGTCCAGCCTTCATCGGTAAGGGACAGGTGACGTTTCGCATGGAATCGACTTAGTTCTTGTGGAATCCGATTACGTGAATCCTTGGGGCGCGAGAGTCTGGATAGGCTCAAGGAGCAGCCTGAATATGGATTCAGCCGATTGGGAAGATGGCAGGAGTGAGATATTCATCCAGAGCAATGTTTGACTTCGGGCCTCACTTATCCGGAGAGCACCACAGCTGCCCGCAGTCTCTGAGCTCCAACTTGAGGGGAACGGTGACGCACCGCTGCGACGCAAGAGAACACCTCACCGAATTTCGAAGATTTCAATCAGATGCCAGGCTAATCGAATCAGTCTCAGCACAGCCAGCCGTGGCGAGGACGGAGCGGGACGAAGTCCACACGGTCCGGCACTCCCTTCTTGTTCAGAGAGAACGAATCGAATAGTCATTCCCGTAGGGCCGATCCGGACATACCTATGTTCCGGGAAGTGTCAGGATTACGTTGCACCACGAAGCCATTGAGTGGAATGATCACACAGCCAATCGGAGGCCGAAACGATACATATTAATACTGGAAATGACTTCGCCCTCCCCGCAGATGAACAGGTGTACCTTCGGAGTTCGATTCCATCCGTTCTTGTGTTTACCTGGCTGTTTCGAAGTTTACATAGGTCGATCGGGATCACCTTTGATGATAAATTCGCAGCCCCAGTATTCCCGACACTCTTGCATTCGCCCCATTTCGGATCCGAGAATAGATTGAGCAAGACTTGTCCTACGAAGGGATAATAAGAGATACAATGTAGGATGAATAATGATTGGGACCCTAAATCATCGGTGACGCCGAATGAATGTACTCGCTGGCCAGGTTCCTCTGCGACCGGGGATCCACCGCTTTCCCGAGGGAGTCCGAGACTATTGCCTCCGTGAAATCAACGACCCTCTGCGTCTGCAGGTTCGACTCCGCAGCTCGCTAGAAGCTACTTCGGATCTTCCAATGAATAGTCAGGTCGATGCTTATCAGCTCCCCAACTTGTAACTTGTTGTAGATAGACGCCGATTTGAGATCCGGTATCGATTTGGTAATCCGTGGTGGAGTTGACAATCTTTCTCGACGGTTGACTCATCGAGACCGGAATCCGTACGTCTGAAAATACTCTCGAGCAGCGATTCCCGGTCCACAAAGCCCGGGCGGAACCGATGGACAGCCGTGGGGTCAGAGCAGCAATCGCATCATTCGAAAATACCCACCATGAAGAATACCGAATTGGATCTCCTGATCCTCGCTCGGAGCCGACGTCCTTCTTGGGCTACATGCTGGAGCCTGGCTCAACCGAAAACGCATGATGATAAAAAACGTATGTCGAAATATTTATATCCAGGCTTGGGTCTGCTCGAGGACGGAAAATCCCTGCCCACGCTCCCCAAGACCGAATACATGGTATTTGGTTGATCTCCCTGGCTACAAATAAACTCCCATGCTACGCGATCTCGTGAGCTGGGAGAGCTTCCTGCTCTTCAAGGCCGCTGAGTTCCGACGGCATCCCGTCAGGTCAGCTGCACCAGCAGGAGGAAACTAGGATGAGGAACTCTTCCTCAATCTGAGGACCGCTTAGGTCTTAATGTCAAGGTCGCGGAGCTATATTTCGGAATGATACTAGGTCGGGAAACGCTTTCGATGTGTCCGCCTCGTCCGCTCGATCAGCTCCATCGATGTGGTCGCGGAGCTCAGGCATCGATTCCTATCCCTTTGGTTCAGAAAGTAGCTGATTCCACCACATACGGCGTCTGGGTCACGAAGCCAAAAGTCTGACACCCAACCCCATCCCGCAGCCTAAAGCGGATAGGATCTTGCAATCCTGGAAAAGGTAATTCGATATCAGATATATTCCGAGGTTCGCAAGAGCTGAGCATGTGCACGCATTCGAGCAAAATGTTTAGCCTCCGCGCTATCGCGTGTTTGTTATGCTGAAGCAGACTGGTTGGATTCCATACCATGTGAGGGAAGACAGGCATCCACCACAGGTATTCTTAAGATTCGTTTGGTCTTTATATACAAGTACCGGCATACTGCTTCACCGACTCTCCATCAAGACCTAGACAGGGGATCGACGCAGCCCACGAATGCAAAACGGTCCCGATGCCGACTCTGAGACTCCTTTCAGGTGAATTTGTCTCAAGAGCGCTAGCGCTCGAGTGAAAGCCTCGAAAGCTCCGAAGACTTCGGGAAAGAGATTCGAAAAGTCATTGATTCGGTGAGCAGTCTAAACTCGAAACGGAGCAATGGAGGCAGACATCGCGAATGACCACGTCCTATTCGATCCGGAACAATTCGCTGAAGACTTCGTATCCAGAATCGCGAAGACGAACCGAAGTGTCAGGGATGTATTCTTTCTGAACACGCTGTTTCTATGGGAAAAGGGTCCGAGGGACAAAATCAATTACGATTCGACGCCCGACCCGGAAAAGCTGATTGCGCACCTGAAAACGATCTACCAAATTGAAGATGAAGCAGAAGATTTCTTGCGGGAGGAGAGTGTCACGCTTGAACGAATACATTTTGCATTTCCCACCGTAGCGTGCAAGGTGGCTGCAGTCGGGGCGGAGCAGAGAAAAGCAGCCTCGCAACTCATCAGAGTCATGGCCATGATCGAGTGTCCCGCATTCGCCAGGTATTGCTCCTCTCTCGTGAATATCGGGGAGAGGGAGGGCCTGCTTCTCGTGGACGCGCACTGTTGGGGTCAGTATATCGACGCGCGCAGAACGAGCTTCGGAATAGCGCCCCATCCGAACCGCATAAGAGAACGAGCTCTGAAGTGGAAAGCGAACTTCAGCCCAGCGGATCTTGCGGAAATTTTCGAGCAGAAGCTCTCGATATTCAAGGACATCGACGAGATGATGCTCGACGAGTCGAACATCAGCTTCGGCATTGCCGAAATCCGCCGCGTCTTACGCAGCGCAGTTTGCCTCCCGAATGTGGACTTCATCGTTGACCAAGCAGTCTATGAGGGATGCATCGCATTCAAGTTCGATGAGGAAGCTGATGAGACCTTCCTCGACATCTACGAGGTACTCTATTTCTCGGGGGCTCTGCTGAGCTACTTAACTGCCATCAGAGAACGACTGTGTCGAGACAATATGTCTCATAAGAGATTCACGGCGATGGAGAACATCCCAGAGCTATTCGCCATTCTTCGAGAAGCTGCACTCGCCGTTTCGAGCGCTACGCCTGAGCACATTGTGACATTGATGCGCGGTGCTGGCCTTCAAGTTACTTGGGGCAGTTTGATGCATGCGGCCCATAAGAAAGTTGGGCCAATAATCCGCAGTGTGCTGGGAGTCGAGGTTCCCCCGCATATGACGCGCCTGAACGTGGCGGAACTTGGACTCGAATACAGCTTCAGGGAGAGCACGATGTTCAGGGGCTGGTATCCTAATCTCATCAGAGAGTGGGCGCTGAATTGGCGGCATCTAGATAAGGATAGCGAAATTTAGGCTCCCCCAAGCCTAGCCGGTCGGAGATTTTCTTAAATCGAAAACATACATTTCGAAAAAATATATCGTATATAGAACTATATATTTATAGATTATACCACACCAGGCTGTCAGCGGGGGAGTCAGCGCGAAGCACCGCGAGCGGTATTTCGATCACAACTTGACGCAAAGATTCATACGTTGAGAATTAGCCAACGAAGTTTTAAATTTGACTCATCAAATAAACACGGAGACTTCCCGAAATCCACGAGCTTCCGAAGGTTTCCCACGGCTTCTCATTTTGGTGTCGAAGGCCTAGGTGCCCTGGGAAAATCAGGATAGAGTCATGTCCATGTCTACCATCACAAGATGCGGTCGCGACTGATGATTCTCATTACCGAGTTGTGAGTTTCTTGCCCGCTACTGTCGACGGATTCCCCAAGTCCCCTAAAGCCTGAAGCTCGCCTCGCTCAGTGAGCATTATCCGAAGCACATGTTGTGTTGTCATGGGGACGGAACCACTACAAATAGAGACCAGGAGTGGCAAAGATTTGTTTTGAATTTACAGTCTCGTTTTGTCAACTGAATTTTCCATGGATAGCGCCAGACACGGCCGAGACTTTGGCGTGATGTCGAGACATTGATCTCCAGCTTAAGGTGACAGTGCATAGTTGAGAGTCGACGAAAAACATTGTGGAACCCTGTTATGCTCCCATGGTAGCATCCATGATCCACTCAGACGGTGAGTACGATTTCATCTGTCGTGTAGAAAATTCCATCCTTGACACGCTGTGGATCTCTTCAAGGACGATCAGAGATAGATGTTTGAATCGCCTCCGCTCTATCTCGCAAGACTGTGCAGCTGACGGACACGGTCGACTCAAATAACGTCACGAGACCGGCTCTTAGGAGCAAATCACTGCTCGAGTGCGTGAGGCGACTCGGACGCAGACGGTGCGGGCCGTACTTGAAGTGAATCGCTGCCTTTGTTCCGGAATAACGGATGAAACAATAAGGTGTTACTCGCGCTCTACGCGATGACTTCCGACTCGCAATGTGTGTCGCCGAGCGCAACGGTGAGTCGCATACTCAACGGGAAACCTACAGGAGCTCACTCGGATAGTCCGCTATTCCGAATTCCTCTGAAGAT